ACAGGGAGTTAGGGAATGGGAGTTGAGGTCAGTGCATCGCATGTTGTCTCTGCTGCTCCTTCCTCCTTGGGGAGGACTCCTCACACTCTTCCCCTGCTCCACCATGGGGTCCCTCCCACGGGAGACAGTTCTCCATGAACTTCTCCATTGTGAGTCCTTCCCATGGGCTGCAGTTCTTCATTAACTGCTCCAGCGTGGGTCCCTTCCATGGGGTGCACACCTTCAGGTACAGACTACTCCAGTGCAGGTCCCCTGCGGGGTCACAAGTCCTCCCAGCAAACCTGCTCCAGCGTGGGCTCCTCTCTCCACAGATCCACAGGTCCTGCCAGGAGCCTGCTCCAGTGCGGGCTTCCCACGGGGTCGGTCACAGCCTCCTTCAGGCATCCACCTGCTTCAGCGTGGGGTCCTCCATGGGCTGCAGGTGGATATCTGCTCCACCGTGGACCTCCCTGGGCTGCAGGGGGACAGCCTGCCTCACCATAGTCTTCACCACGGGCTGCAGGGGAATCTCTGCTCTGGTGCCTGGAGCACCTCCTCCCCGTCCTTCACTTGGTGTCTGCAGAGTTGTTTCTCTCACATATTCTCACTCCTCTCTTTGGCTGCAGTTTTTTTCCCCCTTCTTAAATACTTTACCCCAGCGGCACTACCACCATCACTGAGGGGCTCAGCCTTGGCCAGCAGCGGGTCCACCTTGGAGCTGGCTGGCACTGGCTGTGTTGGACACAGGGGAAGCTTCTGGTACCTTCTCACAGAAGCCACCCCTGTAGCCCTCCCCGCTACCAAAACCTTGCCATGCAAACCCAAAACATTTTGCATGCCCCTTTTTTGTCTCTCCAGGAAAATAAACGTACAGCATAATACATTATATGACATTATCATGCTAAGATTCAGTGTTCTGGTAAATGGGAATACTTCCTCTTTACTGCTGCCTGCTAAACAGAGTGTTGAACTAAACTTACGTTGCCAGTCCCCTATCCTGCCTCAGTCCCCTGTCCTGCACTGCATTTTGTAGTGTGTTTTGAACAAGTGTACTATTTTCCATAGTTTCTCCATTGTTTCTCCTCAGAAATTCAGGAAAATAGATCAGAGCAAGGACATTTGTTCCAGTGCAAAATTTTGCAGTCCAAAAATATTGTTCCCTTTTGCTTAACAGAACAAAATAGATAAGAAAATGGTTGTTCAATGTTTAGACTTTAAAACCAACTGGACTGGTGTTAAGATGGATGTTGAGGCTGTATGCAGTGATAGGGAGTACACAGAATTACATTTGTATATATTGAGTAGTTGCAATTTGGAATGGTGACAGAAGATATTTCAGTAATTCACTAATATGTGATAGGCCTCCAAAATAACAAACCAAGCAAAAGAGCAGGAACACAAGGAAAGGTACAAAATTCTCTCACAGCTCTTTATGTGGGTCAGTTACGATGGCTTGAAGGCTTTGGCAAGCTATGCAGTAAAAAAAAGAAGCTTGTGCTTACAAAATGTTTTTTTTCAACAAGAAGCAAAACATTTTTCTTACTCCATCTGTAGTAGTTTGATTTGAACAATTTGTTGGGGGTTTTTTTACTGGTTTCAGTAAAGTGGTAATGTTCTTAAAATAGTCTAGAAAGCAACTCTCCTGTTTTGTCTATTAGCAACTTCCCGAGCATAAAATGGACTTAGGAGTCCATTTTTTTAAATTAATGATGCATTTACATGATTCCCAATGGGAGGATGAATACCTACTAGAACTGTTGCTTAAAAACACAATCAGCATTTTATTTTAACAAAACAAAAAAGACTAAATACCTACTGTGAGCACATGGAATTTCAGTTGCAAATTTAACAGTTAACGTGCAAGAATAAGAAACACCATGTTGAGGATAATAGACTAGAAAAAGCTTTCTAACCTATGAGCTATTTCTGCTCACAACAGCAGTCACCCACATGCTTATGTCTTATTAAACAAAACTTTAAAACATGAGCATCAAGGCTGCCCTGAAGACTTTGCTGAACTGGGGCTAAGTCTGCTTTTAATCCCTCTGGTTTTTGTAGTATTTTCTTTATTCTTCTATCAGTAGCATCAGCATTTAACAATATTAATAACAAATAGGACATATCCTGCTAGCTTAGCTCTTATCAATACTGCATTTGCAGTTCCCTGAGGTGCCTTATGAATTAAGTCAATTGATAGAGCTTTTTGCATGAGCAACAATTAACACATTTATTCAACCTGCATCTGAGTCATTCAGCCATAGAATAATTCAGACTAGAAGGGCCCTCTGGAGGTCACCTAGACCATCCCCTTCTTCAAAGTGAGATCAAGTTCCAAGTCAGATCGGTTTGCTCATGGCATTGTCCAGTTTTAAGTATCTCCAGAATTTTCATCTCCATCTTTTGGTGGAGAATACTTAAAACTCTCTCTCTCTCTGGAATACAAAAATGCACTTCCTTTTTAAAAAAAAAAAAAAAAAAGACTAAGAAGATAAGATGCTTTTGTTGGTTTGGGTTTGGGTTTTTTTTTTTTCATTTCTTTTTGTTATGTATGTTGAGGTAGCCTGGAGATTTGGTTGTAATCCAGCTCAATGGTGAAAAGCAAATTTGACTTTCATTAAGACAGCTTAGTCAAAAAAGAGAGATTTAAAAGCAACTGAAATGATATGCTCAAAATAAACACTTTGTTTCCTCATGTTTTAGTTTCTTTTCACTTTCACAACATCCAAAACAAATGCCTTGCCTTTTTCCTTGTTATTTGATTGCTATTCTAACAGCAGTTACACCAAAAATACAGTGCGAAAATGAGGTGTATTGCTCACCCCCAAGGTAAATGACTCTCTTCTTTCATGATCAGCTCACTGCATGACTTTGTTCCCCTCCTATTTTATGTTCCTATTTAAAATCCTCACAACAACTAATATAGACAGTGAATGCGTACTAGGAGATACAAGACTGGCACAGTATTATGGCTAAGCAACACAGTAAGTTCAACCTTTTAGCTGAAGCAGTTTTTAATGTGGGAGAAAACAGAATCACTCCTTTATCACAGGGTCTATGAATCACAACAAAACATACTGATTGCACACGCTAATATTTGATTTACCACATGAGGTTCTAGAAAACCTTCCAAAAAACTTAAACAGAGGGTTTTAAAAACAACAACAACAAAACTTTCTAAAATTCTCAGTCAAGTAAACTCCACCATTGGAATAATTCATGAATCTCCTAAAGATTAAAAAAAATTCTTAATTTTCTCCCTGCTTCCTGAAGGTTAGACTGAGCCCTAAAACATGACCAACACAGATGCCAGACTCTTTGTACATCAATACATCTCCAAGTGGAATGGGAGTCTGTTCTCTCAAAGAGACGTAGGCTGCACCTCCTGTGTCCTTTAGAGCAGAAGGCAACTGCAGGGCAGGAGGCAGCCCTGAGTAATTAGCACTGTACGTAGCTGGGTACAGTTGCTGTCTAGATAACAGCCTAAGCTGCATGAACCTATCCCAAAGGAATAGTAACACACATAAGCTAGGAATGCTCCTGGAATTAACTTCACATGTTCCTCAGGGAACCAGGTCGATCCTTCTTTTTTACTGTAGGAGTGTTTAGACTCTTCTCATGGCTATATGATGATTTAACTTTATATACAACTGGACTGGTGAACAGGAAGCACCGAGTAGCTCATTCAGATTACAGACGACTCTGCTAGCGGCTGTATTCTAAAATTCTTCAATGGGACCTATAATTTATTTTCATTAACTAATGTTTTGTCTTCCTGTGAATTGAGTACACTTTTTGTATAATTTTACCAGTAACTCTACAAAATCTTACTATCAGAAAACTCATTTCTTTAACTTCATTTAAAACAGTGTTATCTATGAGGCATACACAGAAAATGCAGATGTGAGAAGTCATACATTTTATGTCTGAGGTATGACCACAAATGCTACTAGACTCTGCTTAGATTATTTTAGATTTATGATTTTCCTTGATTGAAAAGATTCAAAAAACCATGTTATGCTAAGAAATTCTGAAATTCCCCTTGCAATGGCAGAACCAGCATCTAATTACCAAATTTTCTGGCGACGCGCACTCTGAGGCACTTGCCAAGTCCTCCGTCAGAGCATTTATACCCAAAGGACCATGACAACATGTCATGGGTTAGTTGGCTGGCATGACCATGCCCTGGAGAGGTAGGCACATCGATCACTAAGGCTTTCAGAACCTGCTAATGTTGATGAGCGTCTCCAGGCTGAAGATCTATTCATTTTATCAATCTGTCTTCTGCTGAGTCAGTGTTTTTTACTTTCAAGGCACATCTGATGTATGTGCCTGAACTCTTTAAATCTAACCTAGTGTCAGAAAACAGTATGAGCTCTGCTCAGTTCCCATGTTCTTAGTTGTACTCATGTTCTTCAGCTCTCTTCCTGCTACAGCCAGACAATTTGTTCAATCTCTGAAATGCCATCTCTATGGCAATTTCTGTATCTTTAATATGGAACTATGTAATTGTTAATTTTTAAGACCAAAGCTTAGTTTTATTGCGTATGCACAAGAAATGAGTGATACCCAGACCAGCTGAACCACAATAACGAATCTGTCCTAATTCTTGCTTAATTTAATAGATTAAAAAAAAAGAAGTTTCAAAGATCAGATCAGTTCAGTTCAAAGTTGTAGTATAATGAGTTTCTATAAAGTTAATTAGTGAGACCAGAAGAAATCCCCAAGAGTATTCTTTGAGATCCCATTTGCATTGAGAGGAAAGGAAGATATATACTGAGCAACTCTACCTCTAATCTGAGTTCCTGCTCTATGCAATGATATACAAAAAACTACTTTGTTATCAGAGCCTCAAGTTTTGTTCTAAGAGGTATACCTGAAGGACAAAGAAATTCCTGTGAAGGACCAGCAGTCACAAACTGTGTAACCTCCAGACGACTCATTTCACAAAACTGTCAAAGGACAGGAAATGGCTGTGGCTAAAATAACAATCAGCATTTACAGAATGCATTAGTCAGGGTTACCTTTATTGTCACTTAAAACGGAGCCAAAGGCACTGATCACCACATCAGCTTTCAGACGGACAACCTGATCCTCATCTTCTTTCCAGTTTCCTTCATTGTCTTGTTTGGTTCGAACAAACTCCATAGCAACAATTTGTCCACCTCTAAGTACAACTTTCCGAGGGGAGAGGAAAGGTAGAAATTCACACTTCTCTTCTTTTGCAAGTTCCATCTGTAGAGTAGAAGCAATAAAATATATAACTTGAACATTGTTGTGTTTTTATGAAAAAACAAACAAACAAACAAAAACCCCAACATTTTTTGACTCAAGATGCTACCACGCATTCTTCTGTAGTAGAAGTCACCTGTGTACGGTATACAGTCATCTTAATACCAACTTCAGAGCCTTCCGTGCTATTAAGTAAAGCAGTTCTAGACAGTGACACTAGGTAAATTTGCAATGCAAATATTTCTCCAATATATTTTCTTATTGTTCTCTGTTACTTTGAATAGGTATAACTCCTTCAAGGGCAAAAGAGTTACCTTATGCAACTATCTGTGTCTTTTAAGAAGAGGCCTAGTATTAATTAAGTATATGCCCTAATTTCTGTTTACTGTGATTTTAAGATGTTATTAAATGCTGACCACCACGTGCAAACAACAGTTTTCTGAGTGACAATCCATACTTAAGATCTTCTGAATCTCTCCTGTGGTAAACCTGCTGAAGTCAAACAGCATTTTGTCTTAGCAAAATCTTCAGGATTTGATTGTCTATGTTTACACGACAACTTTTCTGAATATGTAATATCTAACCTGACATCATTCTAGCATGGCCATTACTAGCTGAAGCTACTTTTATTTTACTTTTTTTCAAGGCCACTGCATGATGGGATGAGTACAAACACTGACAACTTTTAGGAATTTACCAGGCTGCTAACAAAGATTTTGGTTCAGTGACAGCTGATTCTTGATTAGTAAGAATCTGAATAGCACATGAGTCTGTCTGTTCAATGGCTTCGGTAATCTCATTGTGTCTAGATTCTTAAATGAAGTGCAACAGAAGTAAAGTATTCATCAAGAGACCCTCTATTACTTTTTTTGCACTTCTATTCCCCTTCTACAAGATCTCTAAGATGCCCACCTTCTTGAAAGAGATGACCAAACTACCATAAATCTCTTTATAAAGATGCATTACATGTCCTGATATCCTCAAGTATACAAAAGTGTAAAGTATGTACGAAATAAATGATAATGGAAAAAGACCACCAAAATAAGGAGATCTAAACTGAAAAAAATCTCCTGTAGTATAGATATATTGAGGAAGCGGAGTCAGTTTCAAAATGTGCAGATGTCCTGATAAATGCCAAAGTGCAAAGCCAAACTAAAAATCAAACTCAACACTGAAATCTGTGATAAATGACATTGCTTTATTGCCATTGGCAGTGATTCAAAGCCAAAATCACCGTAAGTAATTTTCTTACAAGATTTTATAGGTTCCCAAGGCAACGTCAAGATCACTGAGATTCATTAGACAGCAGCCAGAAGGTATCATTCTAGGATCTAACCATGACCTGAAGAGTCACCTACAATACTCAAATGGCTGTTTGATCTCTGGGGTGCTTCCAAGATTAAAAATTTTACTGTATTTTCTAATTTACAAGAAATTCTACCCCCTGTATGCAAAAGCACCTCTCTGACGTTACAGGAAACGGGTACAACAGAGGAAAATTATTTATACAGAGACTATATAAAGTGGGCCTCAGATCGTTAATAAACATTTATACATTTTAAGAGCATTTTATAAACAAAACCTTTAGTAGATGTCTTCTAAGTACCTAGAGCACACTTTCAGGCCCTGTAGAAATAACAACCAATATTCCTTCTCATAAATGCTGTTATTTAGTTTTACCTCTTCTGGGACGGCCCTGATATTAGTGAATCCCTTCCTGAAGACCACAAACACGTGACGAGCTCCACAGCGTAAAGCAGATGTTGCACAGTCAAAAGCAGTGTCTCCTGCCCCAAGTACAATCACAGTTCCATGTATTGATGGCAATGGAGAGTGACAGGCACACATCCCTGAAAGATGAAAGGAAAACCCCATTTTCAAGTAGAGAAACCATTTCTGCATGACCACTCAAAAGGTACTTGTACTCAAAGCAGTGTAAAATTGCATCTTACAGTTTCCAAGCATGGAGTGTCACTATCAAATTATTCTGCTTCACTGAAAGACAGTTTTATTTCCGTTTTTAAGATATGCTCATATACATAATTTCATAGTCAGTACTCTAAGCAGCTGCACCTTTCTATCTGGAAAGAATTCAAATGACAACACGTTTGTAGGATTGTGGGTCCTGTCAAGTTGAAATTAGCAATGTGATATATTTTTATTCAAAAAGTAAGTTTCTCTCTTATCATATTCATTATCCTCCCAGTTAAAAAAAATAACACCTTTTAACAGATTATAAAGAATAATACTTGGTATTTTTCAAAAGATGACCAGTTGTTGATAGTTTTGTGTAATAGTTTCTCAAAGTTAGTCCCCTCAGTCAATTTTCTACAAGGCACTGACACTGTTCTGGCAATGATACAGTTCTCAGAGGCTATTCTCTACAGCAGCTGAACATGAGGCAGAAAGAATATTGTTATTACAGTAATTCCTAGATCTTCCACTGGGAGAAAACGTTTAATCTACAGTGGCTTTCTACAAACAATTTGCAAAAAGTTACATGGAGAGAATGACAACATTATGTGTTCATCATCTACAGCTTGTATTTGATGATTTGATTATACAAGAAATACTTAAGTAAAACTGAACTGTGTGTGTTGCTTGTATGAGACTGCACTTTATCACAAGTTTAAATACAACTGTTGATTACGCAAATTATTGCAATTTAAAAAATAATGCCATAAACAATATAAAACTATATTCTCAATGAGCTTGTGATAATTTCATTCAGGAGGTGCTAAGCTGGCCATTTAATCATTGCACTGTAACTCGAGTATCCTGCTATAGTAGCAGCAGATTTTCACATGCAATTGTGAAGAAACACAGGTATTGTTCAAGTAAACAATGCTTTCAATTTAGACATATAAACAGAGTGAGAAACAACATCCTAATACACATATTCTCTCTCCATTTCTAAAATGCTTAATGTATGGCAAATGGTATCATTTTCCCCCCATATGGCACTGCATTTACTATTTACTTAATAGGCTTCTTATTCTAAAATTTTCTCCAAACTTTTCTCATTTATTTTTAATGAACTTAATCCTTCACAAAAATTGTACATTGAGCAGTGGAAAAAGCACAAGCGCAGCAGGGGAATGGCAGCTCAGAGTGCCATTACAGGACTCGTCTAGAATGGATCAGTCACAGCAGCTCACTTTGCTCTTGGTGACAAGGCCACTCCCAAGGTAAATTCACATCTATGTATTTGCAAGGAGAACCCCTTTTGGAGGAAAGTATATTAACAAGTGGTATTCAGAACTTAGTAAGCAGGCAGAATATCTATTTTACTGTGAATAAGTCTATTATGTCTATTATTTAGAGAAATGTCATTGTAAAAAAAAAAAAAAGGATAGAGCTGGATATAGGACATATATTTTATTTTAAAATTCCATGCTTTAGAGAGCCAGAGGTAGCTACAGCTGCAGACAGACACTAGGAAATTAAGTAAAAGAGACCATGTTAATTAACAGACAACAACAAAGAGCTACTATTACCGTCAGTCAGAAAAGGTTAGTTCTTCAAAGTTCATCCTTTTTTTCATTGTAGACTGTCATGGTTTCAGCTGGGATAGAGTTAATTTTCTTCTTAGTAGCTGGTATAGTGTTATGTTTTGGATTTAGTATGAGAATAATGTTGATAGCAACAACTAAAAACATCAGTGTGTTAAGTAGTGTTTAGTCTAAGTCAAGGATTTTTCAGCTTCTCATGCCCAGCCAGCAAGAAGGCTGGAGGGGCACAAGAAGCTGGGAGGGGACACAGCCAGGACAGCTGACCCAAAGTGGCCAATGGGGTATTCCATACCATGTGACATCATGCCCAGTATATAAACTGGGGGGAGTTTGCCAGGAGGGGCCAATCGCTGCTCGTGAACTACTGGGCATCGGCCAGTGAGAGGCAAGCAATTGCATTGTGCATCACTTGTTTTGTATATTCCAATCCTTTTATTATTATTGTCATATTATTATTATTATTACTATTATTGTTATTATTTTCTTCCTTTCTGTCCCATTAAACTGTCTTTATCCTAACCCACGAATTTTACTTTTTTGCAATTCTTTCCCCCATCCCACTGGGTGGGGCAAGTGAGCAAGCAGCTGTGTGGTGCTTAGCTGCTGGCTGGGGTTAAACCACGACATAGACTTAATATAAAAAAATATCATTGTATATCCTGGCAAATCGAGAATGCTACTTTGCAACATTCTAAAAGATGCAGATCACATTATATAGGATCCTCATGTAGGCAGGTGACATACAGTACATGACTATTATGTGTCCACACAGAATTCTATAAAGTATTTTTAGTCAAATTATTACAAGAGGGCATTCTTTTGCAGGATTTATTTTTCCTTTTTAATCCACAAATGTTTTGCAATTCAGATTCTCAATCTGTTTCATTTTTAAACATCTATTTCTTAAAAAGAAAACCAAACAAACCCCAGCCTTTTCTCCCAACCCATTTGAGGTCACTATGAGCTTAAGAAAACAGTAAGAAATAAGCACTTGATCAAAATAGCAGAGAGATGGGACTAATGGGATGCAGAATTTCCCTTCCTAAGTATTTTGCATAAACTTCACTTTTATACGCAGAATGATTTGCTGCAGAAGATATATTCTTCAACACATTGTTTATGGAAAGTCTACCAAATACGGGGGCAACCCTGTATGACACTAAAAGAAATTTCTGAATGCTCAGAAGAAAATCAGTTTGTAGAAAAAAAAGGTATATGTGTGGTTAAATATGTGGTCCTATGTACAAGACCTCATATTGCACTAAGTATATGCCCAGAAAACTGTACATGGAATTTCTTTTTTATCAACACATTGGGCAATCTAGACCATGAGGGAACATGGCATAGAAATCTCGAGCTCCATCTCATACATTCATCTTGGGCTTATGACTTCACATTCAGGGCCACTGAAAGCAGCTATACTCCTTGGGGAGCAAACACAGCCATCTGTACTCAAAAAAAAGATGTAAAAGCATAAAACTAGACTGCATTTGGTGCCTATGAACTGAGTGCTGTCTTACTAACTCCTGGCATACTACTGTTGTTCTGAGTCTTAGACTGTAAGTTGTTTGGGTAAGGAATTAGTGCTCCCTTAAATGTGTCTGTAAAACATGCAGCACATGGCTTGGGATCAAGTAAAATAATTTATCAACAATATACAAAGCAGCTGCTTGTATGGGTTGGCAACACCTTCTTTAATATCAGATTTTTTCAGACCATCTTATATATACTATTTATATCAAGTTACTTTATATAAATGAGAAGCTTATGACATCTTTTGAATATAATTCAAAATAACAAATATAACTTATTAGGGGTAATGATTTCCCATGTACTTATATTTTTATATATGACTATTTGCTTTACAGTCTCTAGGACTGACTTTCCTGACCACACTCCTGAGGTTGCAACTCACCAAGAGAAAACCCTGCCCCAGACCTATTCACTGGGAGGTGCTTCATAACTGGATGTGCTGCTGTGTAACCAGCTGTCCATTTTGATATATCAGTAACTGCTAATGACTTACTGAACATGATTACAACAAAAACATAATATCACATACCTGGCTTACTTGCCATTGCTACCAAAGGTAGGAAGTCTTTAGATGTGTAGAATCCTTGATCCATTCTCAGTCCTTGGAATATACTGTCTCTGTTTGGTTCTGGCAAACCTAAAACAGATATTTTAAGGCATATCAGAACTACAAGGGAAATTTCAATGACCAATACATATTTGACATACATACACATTCTCAAAAACCTCCTCAATACAAGCACTTTTACAAACCGTTAGATGTTTCTAAAAGAACATCACAGATGACTGTAGTTTCATGTTTGTAGTCTGTAGCTTACATAACTCATGATCTTTTAATAGTACTGGCACTTGAAAATAAGGTTGCTGGATAACCTGTGTATTCATATAACTCATACCAAAACAAACACAAAGGAAAGGATTAGAGAAAACAGGATATACAGGGTGCAAAAGCAGGGAAGCTACTGGGGAAGAGAAGACTCTTGTAAGCTTTTCTTGTATCGCTCTATCTGCATGCGCATGTAACTTACTGCTGTGAAATGGTTTTGTTCCCTTTGTTCTGAGGCATTCTTCAATATAGCTAGTCTGCAGATAATACAAATGAGGCAATAATAAACAGCTTAACTGATGAGGAAAGGAGGACAAATGGCAATGCTGTAGATCTGTCTTATCTGTGAGTATCTGTATGCCATCATTTTTTGCCATTCTTGATTGTTTTCTCAAAACCCCAAAGTCCTTATTGGCTGACATTTACTTATAGTTATTAATAGCACACACTTTTACAGAAGCTGTAGGATACAGACAGGGGTACACCTCACAACTAATAATAGCAACAAATACCTTTCAATTAAAAGAAAGCAGCAAAAAGTATCTTCCAATTATCAAGAATATCTTCTTGTTGCTGTGTGAACATTTGAACAGCACAAAAAAAACAGTCTAGTTGACACAGAAGTTAAAACAGTTTTTTCATGCAAATGCAATGATCTATCAGGGTATTTTCAACAGGACCTTGACTTTCATATTTACATCTAAAAGCCATAATATTATCAAAGTATGCTAATTAATAATTATATACTGAAATGGAGTAAACATCAGCAATTTTTCTAAGAAAACACACTAGAACCAAGGAGTCCTCAGAGCAAGCAGGCGGAATTGGAGCATGAAAAGCAATCTGTGTTCCCTCCATTCTCAGGCATGGATGGCAGCAGACTAATGTTTCTTCTCTTTGAGACATACTGGTCTGGAAAACCCCAATAACATCATGTTACTGTCAACAATAAAGCAGGATTGCACATTGAGGAGTGCTGTACCAAGTAGGGAAGGTTTAGGGCCTTTTTACATTACTTAAGCAGCAAAAATCTGTCTCATTATATCGTAATACCAGGACTCAGTCGTGAGAAAGCTTAGGATTTTTTCATGAGTTACCTGATATGAGGGAAGTTTCTTAAAACTCTAGATCCCTGAATGAAGTTACTATAATACAAAACGGAAAAAAACCTGTTAAAACTAAAAATACACTTCAGGGAGTAAAATGAAAACACGCTCTCAGTGAATTCAAAAGGCTTACAAGACAAAAAGCAAATAAAAAAGTCCTGACATTTTTGCATTTCAAAAATCTCATGTTATTGAGCACTTTGTTGATCTCTCTTTATAAAAAAAATCATGACTAAGTTGCTGAACACCTGACTTTCAAAACACCACTGATCTATAGTTGGATATTGAGAAAAATAAGGTTAGAAAATACCAGCATGTACTGAACTTCAAGAACTTTGAATGCTGTACTTTCTGGGTAGACTGGACTATCAGCTAATGAAGAATGAATAATGGGTATCTTAAGAGGCTACCAGAAATACTTACTGCTATTGAAAATACAATATGTAAAATGCATTAAAGAAATTATTTTTAAAACCGCATAAGTTTTCCTCTATGTATATATTGCAAAATCATCTATGGCAAGAAGAGTACCTCAGAAAAAGCTCTCAGTGACTGCCTACAGGCAGAGGACAGAGTAATGCGACTACTTCTATTGAGGTGTCCATAAACCAGCTCAGAGGCCTCAGTTTACTCTTGGGAGAAACACTCTTGTCTTTAGTGAGATGTGCAGTCTGCATTAAAGATCATTTCCTTCCTACCTAACATCTATCCCAGTTCAAAAACAAGAAACCCTTACAAATAGTTTTTCCACGTATTTTTGCCACTTTTATCATCTCCTAATGAAAATTATTTCATCTCTAACAGCATCAGTAATTTAGCTCCCATAGGCTGAAGAAAGAGTAGAATTAAGGGAATGAGGCAATGTTCATGGTTCAGGCTCATCACTAGTTCAGTGTCACTGAAATCAAAGGAGTTGGATTAAGAATGCATTGGATTCAATGATGTTTAGCCTAGCTGATATGACCAAAAAAAAAGCCTAATAGGTAGTCAGTATATGTGGCATTTTTTGCTGTTTATTTTACTATTTTCATTTTGCTGAAAAGTCAATGAAAACCAATTTTGCAATATTTACATTTGAAGGAAATGCAGGGGATTTTTCTCTTATACCTATAAACACCTGGCACAGTTTCAAGCTTTTTGCTAGCATCTGCTGGAAGTTGTACTGGATTCTGATGTATCTCCTTTTGCTGTTTAGTATTTGCCATTATTATGATTGCATTTAATTTTGTTAAAATAGAGAGATAGAGTACTTCTTAAAGCCACTAGGTAGCTAAGAAAGAGGCAGGCAGAGGCAGACAAACAGAGGAAGAGATCAAGAACTGATAAGATCCACTTTAGAGACAAACCATTTCATAATAAATGGCCACCCCACAGAAGTATGCTTTACAGACAGATCAAATATTGATAAATAGCCAAGAGCCTCTCAGGAGAGAGAACATTTGATGAAAAAACAGCTGTAGAGGAAAAATGTAGTTTCAAGCAAATGCTTTTAGTGGAGAAATAAAATTTAAAAAACCCCAGTCATCTATGAAAGACACAATTTAGGTCAAAATAATGATCCAAGAGAAATACCCTGTGAAGATAAATCAGAGAGATCCTTTAGCAAAAGGGATTTCACACACTAGTACAAAATAGCCAGGAGCTGCCCAAGAAAAAATGCTTAGAAAAACATGAGGTCTTTCCCCTACGTTTTAGGCTGGAACCAATGGTAGTCAGTTCTCTGCTCTCCAAGTCTACCTGCAAGCCATTTAAAAGGCTTTTTTATTTATTACTTGGTATTTCTCGTCCTGAAAGAATCTTTCACTATTCTAGGTCTCCTGCCTTTAAATAACCTATATCAAAATCTAGTGATAACAATTATTTCTTTCACCTGCACTGAAGAACAACTCTTCTGAAAGACAACCAAGAGGAGACAGCCTAGAAAGACAATTCCACTGGCATTGTTCAGATGGACTCTGCACACCCATACACAAGCAGAGGGCTATGCCCGGCCCCTCGCCTTCTGCAGCCAAAGCCCTGGACTTCCTGAAGCCTCAGTCCCTTTACCTGCTGATGCCAGGGAACAAGCTTCTGAAGCAACTGATATACAAACCACACAATGAAGCCTTATGGGCTGTGGAAAACAACATTTACTGAGAAAACAGAAAGTAGAAACGTTATGAAAATAAGAGCTTGCATGACAGATCTAGGTCACCTTTGCAAAAAGGTAATCTAGACAGCCGCAGTCTGGGTCAGGTACAGCGTAGAAAGCAATTAATCTCTATTCCTGACCCTCTGGTTTGCTAGGCCCTGTGCGTTTTATCTCCAGATGCTCCAGCTGTTTCTCAGTAAGCATCACTCTCTTAGTATGAAGCCCTCTTTCCTTCTTGCCTTGATTTGATCCTCACAATCCCATCTCTAGTGGGCTATACCTCAGCATCAGTGTCTCTCCCATGTCTGACATACCTTCCAAAGTCATTAGCCACTATAGCAGTGGCTTTGGAAAACACAGACTTTATCCTCCCTTTTTCATATCCTTTATATATACATATCAAAATACACATGCATATATATATTAGAAGAAACAACTGCTTCCTGTCAAGATCCTGTACTCTTTGTTGTCACAATACTGATGCATGACAATTTTCTTAACTCGCGGTGTTAAGTCCATTGTCTCCATTTAAAGAGATAGAATTTAGATCCTCTCACAATTCTCTAGTCCAGATGAAATATTAATCACTAAATGATTAGAGGCAATTTGTCAGATATACAAGGCAATACAGAAGAGTGATGCATACACAATGTAAGCTACTGGCATGCAAAGCAATGCACCTAGTCCACTTGGTTGCTGCACCAAATAAATCAAGGCACGTCAACACATCAATCGGCTAAGCCTGAAAAGGAAATAAATACTGCTGCTATTACTGTAACTATTAGCCTGGTCTGGAAAGGAAAACTAAAGTGGGAGTAGAGGCACAGCATCTCTCTCTCTCTCTCTCTTATTTTGATCAAATCCCCTCTCCCCAGAAACAGGAATGCCTTCTGAACTTGAACTCATTGTTTGGATTACTTAAATCTGACATGTTTGGGCAGATTTGCAGTTTCAAATGAACTTCTCAGTCAGTCTTAATAACTGACATACAAAATAAGCCTTCGTCCTTGGTAAGGGTCAAATGCAGTTTTCACTGGCACCTGACTGAAAACAAATCTCCAGACAAAAAAAAATGGAGCTGAAGTTGAAGTGGAAGTATACAGTAGCCTACAGGGACAAAACTTGCTAGAGCATTGTGAGGTTTTCTGTTTTCCCTCACATCAACCGCTGAAAAGTCTGGTTTGCTTCATTTTTAAATGTAATAATACCACATTCTGGAAAAACTTAAGCTGGACCAGGTAAACAAATGAATAACTAGCACCTTTCAAGCAATATTCCCTCTCTTTGCATTCTTAGCTGTTGCTGTCCTGACAGAAGAGAGTTTTCAAGATGAGAATTGGCTGGATTGTTTTTACCAGCTCCTTACTTTCAGGTAAAAATGTAAATTCAGGCTGGTGAATGCAACCTGTGTTTGAATATACCAAGAACTATTTTTTTAAAAGCCAAGACACGCTATTTTGACATTTTTTATAATGAATCCTTCAAGTTTGTTTCAAAATGATATTACATTTATAAACTTATCCAAACTGAACTCAAAAGAAAACAAAGAAAATTGGATTCACTGGCCAATGACA